GCTGCGCCACCAGGGAGGGCCCGCTACTTTTCTTTCTTTCTTTTTTTTTTTTAATGCCTTTTTCTACTCCCACTTTCTGAAATCCTAGCCGCTTATTATTTTCTGCCTTTGGGTTCCTCTACTTTGGCTTAGGTTTCCACTATGTCTATTAAGTTGGTTTTCTCAAGTGCTTTCATTTCCAGGCTTCCTAAAACAGGCTGTCATCATTCATCTGTCAACATCGTCTTTCCTATGACTTTTCTTCGGTGTTGAGCCCATTTTTATTCCTTCTATGCTTTATTTCTTTGTTTTAGTTGGTTTAAGGAGGAGGTGCAGATGAATAGATGTGTTCAATAGGTTAGGCAGTCAGGACATTCTGCTTTTCCTTTTAACCATCGGGAGAGCCAGTTTGCGTGAAACATCACAGATGCTCCATTTGTAAATTGAATGAGATCTTTGTTTCCTGCACAAGTTTTGTTAACAAAGAAACTGTTTGCCATTTGAAGATTTCAAAGTCCTATGAGATTTCCAAAAACAACTCACAAAATTCTGAATTTAGTCTTGGACTGTGTAAGGCAGGATATAGTGACCAAAACGTAGGAGCTGAGAGGTATCACCTGTTTCGTCTGAATTCATACTGACAGACAAAAGATGCATTTTTGAATTATCCTAAATATTCTTCATACTATTGGAAGACATCTGATCAGTTCATAAAAGATAGTACCAATTTCCAGTTCTCATAAGACTTGATATAAACAAGATATACACACATATTGAATTCCAACGTTATCAATTGGAACATTTCAGATTTTTTAAATTTTGCAAAAGGATTATTCCATGCTACCCGGGGATGTATTCCTGCAGCTCACACTTTCCAAGATCTGTCTGAGAAGAGGGGCTTTCACATAATTAAGGAAAAAAGTATACAATTCACAATGTTAACTTAAAAATTATCATTACATTTTCTCTATGGGAAGCCTGTCCTACAGCATGATATATAACAGGAATATATAACAGGGGACAAGTTTACAAAGTCAGGTTAAGCATTTTCTCCCCAAAAGTATTGATTTCATTCATAGGTAATACAGAACTGACAAATTCAAGAAATATAAATTTGCATATAGCAAAAATCTACACCTTACTTATTTTCCTAGTCACTCTAATGTTCATTTCCATAATTGGTTATTTTCAGTCACTTGTTAGAGTCCTTTCAAATGTCCTGAATTCATTTACATACATTTGTATTTTTACATTCACAGTTATGCTTGCCTGTAAGTGTTTAAAATGAAATCAAATATATATCAGTTCTCTTAAATGTATTTGGAAGCTTTTTTTCTTTTCTAAAATTTTTATTGAAGCTAACACTGGTTGTGTAACAGGTTTAATTTAGAAAACTCAACATGTAAAGTCTATCGCAAATACTTAACATTTGGCATACTATTTCCTTTCTTCCTTCTTGATGTTCCAATGTTCTTTTGTTATTAACTCTCTTAATTTTACATTATCCAAAAACCTTTATATTTCCTCTTCAATCTTCAAGGATATTTTCACTGAGCACTAGATTTTAGAAGGACAGTTCCTTTTTTCAGCTCTTGATTTCTCAATAGATAAGGTATTGTTATACTCTATAGATAAGGTATTGTTATAATCTAAATAATATCAGGAATTTTATTTAGCTTGTAGAAAGTTGTGTATAATGTTAATTAACATGGCTATCTTTGGTGTTCACTCATCTTGAATATGCTACTTTGTGCTTTTTGTAAAATTTATTTAAAAAATTGCCATCATTTATATATGTGTATATTTAGCTAAATATATATATATATACACATAATACATGACTTAAATATATATGTGTGTGTATACATATATATATATACATATATATATATATATAAGTATATAGCTATATATTTAGCTTCATGTTTGTTCTCCTCTCCCTCAGCCTGATGACATCAATGTTAGATTTTTGTTGTCCCATCACCTGTCCCTGGACCCTTGCTCCCCACTCCAGTATACTATTTCTTTGTTGTTAAAGTGAGTAATGTTTATTATTCGATCTTAAAGTTCACTCATTCTTTTCTCTGACCTCTCCAATTTGCTACTGACTCCATACTTCGGGTTTTTATTTGCTTATCAAGTTTTCCAATTCTAATATTTTCATTTGGTTGCACTTTATAACTTCTATTTCTTTGATGACACTCTAATTTTTCCATTTGTTTAACCATATGTACAACTTCTCCCTGAAATAGTTTTAACCTTATCATCTTGATGTTGCAACCAGCTGATTAGCTGATTGTTCTTTCTTTCAATTAGTTTGAACACTTTTTTATTTTTTTTGCATGATGACCACTTTTTAAGTGAAGCTCAGATATTTTAAAGTTATTTTATTAGTCTCCAGGATGGTGTCAGAAAAAGCCAATGCAGACAGGAAGTTTAAATAAGATTTAGTCAGGGAAAGGAGAGGGTGCACTACCTCATTGCTTCCTGGTATAGTTAAAAGTTGGGGTTCCCTAAGCAGTGAAGAGGTCTTATATACTGCTGTACATTTCAGATCTTCACATAGTCTTTTTGACATATAATGAGTAAAGTTGAATGATTTTTAAAGTTCAGACATCATGAAATTCTTTATTACTATGACTTACACTTTGGTTTTAGTTTTAAAAGCTACATGGTCTTCTGAGACATGTATAATAAATAACTAAAATGTAAATAAGCTCTTTTCTAGGGGTTGTAATAAAGTTTAGATTCTCACCTATTTGTTGCTATTCCAATTTGTTTCTTTCCTGGCTTCTTCAAAGTTCATCAATAAATCACTATTTAGAGTATGGTAGAAAGAACAAAAATTGAGGCCTCCCTGGTGGCTCACAGGTTAATTTACCATTAGCGCCTGAGTTCAATCTCATCCAGGGAGCTGACCCATATGGAGAAGTAGACCTCTCCTGTCTCACCTGCTGCTCCCCTCAGCAGTGCATTTCAGGAGATCGGCCTGATCTGCTCCCCTCTCTGCCTCTGGTGAAGCCTCTCACCACCATCCCACCTTTGGCCT